TTTGCCATAGAATTGTCCCTTTATATTTAAAAAAAATTTATATTAACATGGAGGGGGGGTCCTCTCTGTGGAGGCTGCCGTATTTTTTACTGGCATCCAAACTGGACAAACTAAAACCTTTTGAGTTTTTATGTCAACTGAAGGTTTCCATAGGTTCTCTTTCATGTTGGGAAGAGGAGGGTGAGGTGAGGGGTGTTCAGCCACAACATGAAACTTCACCTCTAGATGTCACTCAATTCTACACACTGAACCTTTAAAGTGTAATCTGGATGTGGTAAATGGTGAATATTCCCCAAATAGCATAGCAACTAATTTTGGCCACTTTTGGTTAACATGCAGTATTGGTGTGGCTTACTTGTGGCCTCAGTCTACTCCGAGAAGAATGTGTTCAGTGTGGTCCAGATCTATGCCATCACAATTTTGTTATAAGGGCTGTATCTTTAAAAACATAGACATCTCTTTATAATGCCACCAACATGAAAAATGTCTTCCAATAATAACAATCTCCTGAGAAAAGTCATTTCACTCAATACTTAAAAACGTAACTCACATATGTAGTTTGAAGATTCAATTTGCTGTGAATATTTGACACAGAAATAGAGACCATTGGTTTACAGAATAATAACTATAGTTCAGCCAGACAACTCACGTTCAACTGTTTATAGCAGCATTAGAATATAGTTTGTGTTTGGCATCTAGGCTCTGACTCAATCTTCCCCCAATATAATTACACAGATATGATGGGAATGACGAGCAAATACTTGTAACTCCCCCGGAGGCTACAGCTGCTTGCTGGGATGGTGGAGAGGCTGAAGCAACTGGTAGCGATACTGCAGCAGCAGTGCAAGCAAAGGGGTTGATGGGATATTTATCTCTGCTTAAATAGGCTGCCTTATAAGGTGGGTGTGTATAATAGATGATTGTGGAGAATGAGGTATGTCACATGATGTGTGTCACATGATTGGAGCAGCGCAGCTCAAGTTGGCTGCCTTAACTAGCTCGCAGGGTTTGCTCCATTAAATCAGTGGCAGACATAACGACATTACAAACAGGGGCCAGTTATATGTCCAACAACTATGCACAATTCCCATTTACATTTAAGTAATTTCTTGTTTCGGATTAGCACTTCACAGCCACAGTCACCCATTCATGCATACATTCACACAATGCTTCAAAATGCAGCACTTTATTCAGTCACTCGCTATTAATACACAAGTCGTGCATAGTTGTCATGGACATTTTGGGGTTTTTTTTGCTCTTGAAGATGACACTTGAGGATGCAGACGGGAGGAGGAGACCCTCTGGTTAGTGGACGACCCTCTCTGCCTCCTGCCTACAGAGATAAGATAAGATAAGATGGGCACAGGATGATTGCATGAGGATGTTACCTGTATT